TAGTCGTAGTATTTTTCTTTTTTTTTGTTTTCCTTCAATTCTATTCTACAAATGAATCACAGTTTTGGCGACCGAAACATGCACGAAAACTCATCAAACTTTGCACACTCATCGGGCCTGGTGAAAATTTAGACACTTTAAAGTTGTCATGCACGAATATAAAAATGTCTCTGTTGCGCGCCACCTACTGTGGAAGAACAACCAAACAATTACAAACTTGGGAGGCAAATGTCGCACCTCGAGATGAATCACAGTTTTGGCGACCGAAACATGCACGAAAACTCATCAAACTTTGCACACTCATCGGGCCTGGTGAAAATTTAGACACTTTAAAGTTGTCATGCACGAATATAAAAATGTCTCTGTTGCGCGCCACCTACTGTGGAAGAACAACCAAACAATTACAAACTTGGGAGGCAAATGTCGCACCTCGAGATGTCCAAAAAAGTCAATTGCAGCCAAATGCTAAGATGTACATGATGTGAGGTATAATTTTTTTGAATGTCCGATTTTGGCCCCCTTTTGCACATTTACAGGAATCATACTTTTGCAACCTTGTCCTAGAGGGTTCATTTGGATTTACCTCAGACTTGTACTGCACCATTTCAAGAACAGGGGAAAAAAATGTCTCGAAATACTATGTGACAAGGGCGGGGCATCAAATTTTGTGTTTCCTATTTCCACAAAAGAGGAAATGCTTCCTCCCGTGCTCAGGCTCCAACAAAAATCCCAAACTTCACATGTATATAAATAGCAACGGCCTGAAGACATCTATTTTATATTTTGTATGCTTATTGCAACACGTAGTGATACCAATTAATGTCATATTTTACATTTTAATGTACTCCACCAAGCTATTCGAATGAATCTAACTGAAAATTTGGCAGGAAAGCCATAAGATGTTGATCATGCTCAAGGTCAAATATGACGACTTTTGGGCAAAGGGCATTGCTCTTGAGATGCCACAATATCTGATGAGTTGCCATGACAACAAAAGCTCTAATTTGACCCAGATAATCTTCTAAAAATGTCACATCTATGCAGGTGTTATGTATATGTAATAGCCTAAGACCTTTAAAAGTCTGTTGAAGTCATATACAAAACCTAACAGGGGTCCACCATTTTGAATTTCCTTTCAATTTTGACATCGCTGTGACAACAAACGCTGGTGTAACTTGATCCAAATTTCATCAAAAATGTCACACATTTGATAAGAGTTCAGGCCTGAAAACAGTGACAAAGTTATTTCTCTCCATAGTGGGACCACCACCTACTGACTACAGGAAGTACATGTTTTTATTGCTGCTGTTTTTTTTTTTTTCTTGTGGGTTAATTGGACCTACTTCATGCTGTATTTGCTCAGAAGAATGTTCAGGCATTCATAATGTTGTAACATTAATTTAGTAATTTTTCACGGAATGCTATGGCAACGTGCAGCTTGCCAATAAAAGAACATCGATTTGTGGGTCTAAACACGCATTGAAAGCTCATGAACATATGCCTACAACTCAAGCCTGGCAAAATAGTCAATATTTTAATCAATTTATTGTGATTTTTATTTTATTTTTTTTAAATGGCTCAGTCACAATCTCTAAATATTCAACAAAGCAACCCTGGTTGTCGGTTTCACCAAGATCAACAAAAATATGAGCATACTTAACAGCCCAAGACCTACAAAAAAGTCTCTGGGAGCTATAGGAGAAACCTAACAGAATTCGACCATTTTTAATTTGCTTTCATAATTGGCTCAATTTTTGGCCTTTATTAGATCACATTTTAAAGAATTTCTCCCAGAGATTTGGTCCGAATGTCTTGAAACTGTGGGTTTTTCATCTTAAGATGTTCAAAATGAAAACTGAATGCAAAGATGTTTTATTTCGCCAATCGCAATTGCTGTGCAACGCGCTGTTTGCTAAGAGAAATGATGCTGATTTTGATGGCCTTAACATTCTTGAAAATATATGAAACACACATCACACCAGCCATAATAAACATTTTATTCTTCATTTATTATTATTGTGTTGTAAAAAAAAAATCACAAACTCAACAAGTATTTACAACCCACGTAACAGCCCAAGACCTACAAAAAAAGTCTCTTAGAGTGATTTGCTAAATGTAACAAGAAATCCACTGTTATAGTTTATTTCAGATATACTATACACAAGACATACGAGTATTGTGTGCATACGAACAGGATCAAACCCCTTCGGATGGATATGTGATGTAGAATTAAAAAGACTTGCTAGCTCTGGTGTTAGCCAACTCAGGCCCTTTCACGGCATTGCACAGGCAAGTCAAAAATGTCATATGATAATGAGCCAGCTAAAACAGATCAAGTAGTCCTAGGATGGATGGTCACCTGTATTGCATGTACTCCAAGACAGCATTACTTTGCTACGCTTAAAACAAATGGAGGTTAATGTAACTGCATCAACGATACTGATTTGGCGTAGTGTGTTCAGCAAATAAGCATTCATGGTGCACTGCTTAAGGAGCATCGATATAAACAACATTGCACAATACACTACATTACAATGTACATAGCAACAGTGTACACTGCTTGAAAATCACTTGTCCTACCAGATATTTTGAATGGTATTTTCTTGATAGTTGTGTTTTATTTATTTTGTGTCATCGTGTTATAGTTATGTTTTATTTACCGGTACATCCCATTATTGAAATTCGCATCTGCGCAAGGAAAAAAACCCCCACAAAATCCCATTTCCATAAAAAAGAGGAAACCTTTAGAAGAGACCACAGATGAGGGTCTAAACATGCATGAAAACTCAAGAAACTTGCACACACATCAGGCCTGGGCTGGCAAAAATCTTAAAAATCCATATGTCGCAGGTTTTATTGTGGAATTTTCCCCAAAATTGTCATTCCAATATGACAGTAGCCTAATGTGCCAGTCCCCTAAAGTGGTCTGGGTTCCAAGGGCCCTTCATAGCTCTTCACAACTCTCGTTTATTATTACTATTACTGTCAAGTTATTTCTCTGACCATTTTGGGCTTGTCTTTCATTCACAGAAGTGGACCAACAATTTGTTCATGTGTAGTCTCTAACGTACATTCAAACAATGCTAGCCATTTTTGCGTGTCATTTCTATCAAGACGATGCTAGCCATTAAGTCACTTGAACCAAAAATGTGGGCAGTGTATGGTCATTTCGGTCTGCACTCCATACGCACACCTGAATTAATCTGTTTGCAACGATCTGCATATTTGGTATTTTCAGGATGCAGCCATTGCGTTCGGATCCAGTCAGCATGCCTGGGTCATCAAGGCTGTTAGCTGATCATCAAGGACAAGCTAACAGTATGGATGCAGGTCCAGGTAGGAAACTGCATTTATTATTGTTTACTCTTGCTGTTTTTGGAACATATATTATTTTGAAAACATGCCCATTTTTATTTTATTTATTTATTTTTTTTCTGTGGGTGGGGGGGGTGACATCATATGAATTGAGACCAGAAGTTTAATTGTTTTTGGAAAACCACATGGGCCTCAGTTTTAGCAACAGAAACATAATCATCTTAATCGCAGCCATCACTCGCTGATGTTTGAAGTGTGCGTTAAATGATGACACAGTCTTGTCCATCGTCCATGTGCCAATTGTAAGACTTGTATACATAATGCCACATCATTGATTATATTGTTATTGTTTTATGTTGACGATTGCCGCCACAACGGCATCGACAGCCTTATAGCTGCAACGCATCTTAAACTGCCATTTTGCATTCCAAAACAATGACATCACTTGAATTTGGGGTGTGCCCCCAGCTTGGAGTATAAACAGTTGAGTTTTTCAACACCAACTCAGGCTGGTACAGTCCTAAACAACCCCTGTTGAAGGAACTTCGCCTGCTCGGATGAGAGGTGAATGTCTTCAGAGACAAATAAAGCAATCCAATTGTAATTGTCTTGAGAATGAAATGAGTTCCAGCCCCAAAGCACGATGCTTCCATCATGCTTCACTGTGCATATGGTGTTCTTTTGGCAAAAAGAAGTGTAGTGTCTGGCTTTTTGACCAAAAAGTTCACATTTAATTTCATTAGACCAAAACACATTTCCCCCTTTATTTGGGGGATTTCAAATGAGGTTTTTTTTTGTTTTTCTTTGTAAGATAAAGCTTCCATCTTTCCACCCTACCCCATTGTCAAGACATATCAAGAAGACATGAGATTGTTGTCCCATGTAATAAACTAAACAGACAGAACTTGCGAGAAACTTCTGCCCCTCCTTCAGTGTTACTGTCAGCAACTTGACAAAGCTCCATGGCCACATTTCTTGTTCTAGTCAGTTTTCGATGAAGACATCCAGGACTTGGAGATGTCACTCTTGGCATATATTTTGTCTACTTAGTGATGGAGCTTGTAGAGGACAGGCGTAATGTGATAAATCGTGTCACATTTCCACTTTTTAGATTACCCTTTTCTGCCAAAGTGTCATATAATGCAATTCCTCCATGTCTAACCATTTTTCTTTTGACCTTCCTCTCATAGGAAAAAAAATGGCTCCATGCCAAGTAATGGAGGTGATGCTTATCAATACGTGTGGATAGGGAGGCTTCAGTATTGTGTTCCGCCGCTGCCATGGCGCCACTTATTATCTCTCACACATCTTTTATCTCACACTTGAAAGAACACGTGTGCGTGGCAACATTTGCCTCATATGGCAAAGTGAGTCATAATTATTGAGGTCATTGTAAAGTTACATTGTAACGTTATAAGTTGCATTTTTATCTTGCAGAATTTTAACCATTGACACAGAAAAAAAACTCTCTCTCTCTCTCTCTCTCTCTCTCTCGCTCTCTCTCTCTCTCTCTCTCTCTCACACACACGTTGGTCAGTATTTGCAGAAATAGAACCCATGCGTGTGGATTGACTGTTCATGGACTGACTATTAGTATAGTCTGGTTTTGACATAAGACGTTTTAACCCAACGGCAGCATGTGTGTGTGTGTGTGTGTGTGTGTGTGTGTGTGTGTGCGTGTTTTATATGTCTATTTATATATCTATATCTATCTACAGTGTATATCTATCTATCTATCTCCCTCTCTCTCTCTCTCTCACTCTCTCTCTCTCTCTCTCTCTC